TAGAAAACGTCACAGCAGGTGACACCTTCATTGCTTGCATGCATGTGCCACTTAGCAGGAAAAGCTGAATGCAGAAAACATCAATTTAGCTGGCAGTTCCTTCATCTGTCCCTTCATCTCGCAAAACAGTAGACAAAGAAAAAGAAAACGCCTGCCACTCTGATGCCTTCCGTTGAAGGTCAATTGTTGACCAAGTATATAATTTTCATCCCTTATAAGTATACATATGCAATGCAACTAAAGTTGATTATATATAATTTTCATCCCTTCTAAATATGAAATTACTATTTTTTTCCTAACATATACTTTAAGATAAATAAGTAATATCTAATTTTAGATTATAAATTTTTTTACGTGAAATATTTGTTGATATTGTTGATGATTAAAATTTGAAGGAGTTTAGATTTTATTTAAGTTTTTAGAAATAGAATTAATTTTGTTTTGTGTTATAAAATTTAAATTATATAAAATTTAAATTTTATTTTGCATGCGTGAATCTCTCAAGACGCTTTGAATGGACTTGGTCAACAATTGATCTTCAACGGAAGGCGTCAGAGTGGCAGGCGTTTTCTTTTTTATTTTCTGCTATTTTGCGAGATGAAGGGAAAAATGAAGGAACCGCCAGCTAAAATGACGTTTTATGCATTCAACTTTTTCTACTAAGTGGCACATGCATGCAAACAATGAAGGCGTCACCTGTTGTGACATTTTCCGGAAATTGCTACTCCCGGTGACCTTTTTTCTCGTCCTACGTGGCTAAAACAATTTATTTCGGTAATTAATTTATTTTTATAATTTTATTTATTTTTAATTTATTCTGGTTGAAAAGCCGCATGTTTCCATGTTGGTGAATTACGATGATCATACTTGATATGAGAGCAGAGTAAAGATAGGTGATTGATGAAGTTCTTTTGAGACCATGTTGGTGATGGTGATGTTGATCTTTAAGCTATTTTGGAGTAGCTAGTCTGGTAGTTGTTAGTTGTTATTTTACTAACAACCTAAGTTTATATATTATAGATCTTGGACTAGTGTGTGTATGTGTGTGTGTGTGTGTATATATATATATATATTCACTTGTATATCTAGGAAATGTTGTATATAAATCTTAGGTAGGAGTATGTATGTTTTTTTGCGACTTGTAGTGGAACTGTTATGTGTAAGGACCATGGTGGATCATTATAACCACAACCTCTTTGAATGGTTCCAACTATAACCTCTAGGTTCAAGGAATGAAAAGTTTCTTAACAGGTTGTAATCTTTGACGTGTTGTTACTAGAGATATTACTCAACCAACCAAAGCTAAAAATGAGAGGGATGCACAATTTGCAGAACACCTGGAGGATTAGGATAGTAAAGATCACTAGATCACGTGGTTCTGAAATACCTTTGTCCCTTCAATGCATATCCAATTTGTTGATTATGATTCTACAAAGGAAATATGGATTTCCTAGCTAATTAGTTTAAAACCTATGGTTTGACTCATTATTATCAATTGTGGATTAAACTTTTCTATCTCAAGCAAGAATCTGGTTAATTAGTGAATGAATTTATTACTCAAGTCTAACCAATATGAAATCAAATATCTTAGGCAAAGATTAGTGTAGATCATCTTCATCTCATTCAGGTTCTCATGGCTCTTCAACCAGAATATGAAGTTGTTTGAGCTTCTCTAATATATCATCATCTACTCCCATCATTGGATGTTGCCATTTAGGAAATTATTTTTTAAAGAAACTTGCCTAAATTTGGATAAAACTTCTCAATTCGATACAACTTTTGCAACTAGTCGACCCTACATCTAAAGAATGAAAATCAATTTAGTAAGAATTGTAATCAAAATGGTCATAGTTTTCTATCATATAATTGAATGCAAATCTTGTCATTGCTTAGGTCATATTCTTGAAAATCATCACATATGTCTTCCAAGAGTGAAAGATGGATACTTAAAATCCAAGGTTGACCCAAAAGTTGGATTATCCTTCATCACTAGTGCTACCATCGATAGGTTTACTCTTGAGACTTTACTTAAACAAGTTATCTTTTCTTATGTCTCTATTGCCTTATCTACTACTTCAGGTAATTCTCATTGGCTCTTTGATTATGCATGTTGTATCCATATGACCCCTGATATTAAATATTTTCCTTCTACAACACCTATTTCTTCCTTACCACCAATCCAAATAGCAAACGGTACTAAAATGAACAACACTCATATTAGTCATGTATCTACCTCCAATCTCAGTCTCCTTAACACCTATTTAATTACTAACTTGACACTCAACCTTATCTTCATCGGTCAATTATGTGGAAAAGGACAAAATATTCTCTTTTCACCTTTTAGTGTACATGTACAAGATCCTCAAACAAAACATATTATAGAGCTTCAATCCTTGCATCTTCCTAAAAAAATGTGTATATGCTACTATTGTCCCTTCCACAATTTACCAATGGCATCTTTGACTTGGTCATGCCTTAACAAGAAAAATTCAGGCTTTAGTTTCTCATGGTTTATTGGGATCTACAAAGTTTGGGTCTATATGCATCCTCCCCCTAGTTATCATTCTTCTCGTAAGGTTTATAGGATTCAACGAGCCTTATACGATTTGAAACAAGCTCTTAAAGCCTAGTTTGCTAAATTTAGTTCCACTCATACACAATTTGGCTTTTTCTTTAGTTTGTGTGGAACTATATTTCTATACTTTAAGTGGATGACATGATAATAAATGGGGATGATGATGTTGAAATTTCAGCATTACAATGGTCTCTCTACCAACATTTTGAAATGAAAGACCTTGGTTCTCCAAGCTATTTTTTGGGTCTTGAATTTCTTGAAAATTTTGGTGGCTATTGTCTCTCACAAGTCATACATGCATCTGACTTACTTTCTCAAGCAGGAACCATTGATAGAAAAATTGAATCAACCCCTTTGAAACTCAATTGAAAAATTAACCACTTGATGGAATTCCTCTTGATGATCTCACTCTATATCGACAACTTGTTGGTAGTCTTATTTACCTCACTATTACTTGACTAGATATTGCATACAATGTTCATATAGTTAGTTAGTTTATGGCTATTTCGCGTTCATCTCATTTTTTTGTTGTGCTTCGGATTGTCCATTATATTAAAGACACATTTTTTCATGGTTTACACTTTTATAGTAACTCTTCTTTGATTTTATCTAGATACTCTGACGTTGATTGGGTTGGTGATCCAATAAATTGTTGATCTACAATAGGTCAAGATTACTTTTGGGTAATTCTCTTATTTCTTGGCGTAACGAAAAGCACACTATTGTTTCTTGCTCCATCTAGATCTTAGTATCGTGCCCTTATCAATGCAACCTTTAAATTACTTTGGTTAAGATGGTTATTAATAGATATAGGTGTCACACATCGTTCAACTAACATTCTTGGTTGTAATAGTCAAAACACTAGACCAATTTCTCATAATGATACTTTTCATGAGTATTTAAAGCACATTAAAATTGATTGTCACTTTACACGCCAACATATTATTAATGATATTATGCGATTGATCCTTATCTCTTTTACCAACTAAACAACCGATATCTTCACTAAAGCACATTCACCTGTTCGATTGTTAAATCTCTTAGACAAACTCAAGTTGGTTTCTACTATACAAACTAGAGTTTGAGAAGGGGTGTTAGTGTAATCATATAGATTGTTAATAGAAATTTTAAACAAATATGTAAGAAATTATTAGAAAAAATGTTAATCTCATAACTTCAAACATATTTTTATTTATAATTTCCTTAAGTTGAGACTTTGTTGCAAATCATATCATTGTAAAATAAGCTAAGAAGAAATACACCTCTTTCTTCCATGTTTTATTTCCCAATTAACACTTTTATTATTGTGGAGCACAATAATTTTGATGTTCTTGTATCATGGTCTTGGTACCTATGTTACTATCTTTAAATTTTTGCACATCTAATTCACATTTGGTCATCGAAAATAAATCACCACCCACTAAACCAAAAAAATCACCTATTGATTCGGTTTATCGAGGTTTCTGGCTGGGTTAAAAAACACTTCCTCGTGACTATAAATTTGGTGGGAATTTGTTACTTGGTTATTCTATGCTTAAATATTTTTTTATTAAAAGTGAAGAAAGTATATACAATACTGAGCACTTTAACGTAAAAGGCATTTAAGTAAAAATAACTTAACGTAAAACATTATAATTTAATATTTTAAATAGTAAACTGAGCACTTTTCCACAATTTTCTTTTTTAGAAAAAGTAAGAAAGGTAGAGAAATGCTTTAAATAGTATTACAACTGATTTCCCGTTCTACCAAAAAAAAAAAAAAAAAACCTTAAATATGAGGTACAGAAACTTTCTTTGAAAGAGTGAAAAAAAAAAACTAATACTAAAAGCACTTAATATTTAGTTCGACAC